AGTATCCAAGTATCAACCACTGACCTCTATTTATTCACTGGATTGTTGATAGGCAAGGTGCTGTGAAGTCACCAGCCGCCAAATTGGTACTCCCTAGTTAGACCGGTCGGAATGACAACAATACGTGCGCTACACCATCGAATGATGATGATGTTCTCATTTTCAGGGGGCTTAAGACTTAAAACCAAGGTAAGGTCATCAGTTTGACAGACACTTGCTTTCATAGCATTAGAATATTACTGTAATTTATGGTAAAAATAATAGGCACATCACATTACATATTCTCTATGAAGTCTGTTAGGATAATTATCATTGAAGATGTGTCTGTTTATTACACCTTGGTATTGGCTGCTTTTTGCATTTCAGAACTGATGTTTCCGAAATAGTTAAATCTAATTAAGACAGTTCCTCTGTCTGGATATACAGTTATAAACTTCATTCTGTATGTGGCAAAGATTTAGAAAATGGAATGAGAGCGGTGTCCTTCAGCTAAGTTTAATATTTTGATCAGGCTGGAGCCATGATGTCTAATCATCTGCTAACGTGTATGATGTAAAATAAGATAATGTGGCAGACTGGAGATGTATAACATGCCTTTTTAACTGTTAATTGGGGTCACTTCCTGAGAGGTGAGCCCCGAGGTGAGCAGCTGCCATTCTGAAAACTCTAAGCAATTTCTCTGATCTCAGTAAGAAAGCAATCTATATTAAAATTTGTTGTCATGTCTTCTGGTTATTTAATGCATATAAGTTATGAAGTGTTATTTAATAATTTTGTCCCAAGTGATCTCTTTTCAGGGAAAAGAACCGGAGAGATGCGTCAAGGTGCATACACAGAGCCTATCTTTAACAAACGGGTCGAATGATGGGGGGGAGACTGAAAACAATGTGTTCTTAAACAAGCTTTTCAAAGCACTTCATCATGATGGAAGTCAGTGTGACAGGCCGGTAGTCATTAAGTGAGGTGACCTGAGGCCTTTTTGGGACTGGAATGATGGTGGCTTCAAGTCTGCCACCATCATGACGTCATACACACTCCGCTTTGTTTTAAAAAAATATAGATATAAAAAATATAACCGCGGATGTCTGGGGGATTCACCTACATGTTATGAATGCTGGCGTACCATAAATGATAACTTATGAACAGTTTAGTTTGTGCCTTCAAGTCGTTGCCTATAAGAAGACGTTACTTGGATATAACCTAACAGAATATATTCAGAACAGCTCTAAACGACACAACACTAATATGGGTAAGTAGAACATGATGTAATAACGTTAAATCAAGGGCCCATTGTAAAAAAAAAAACAGTGTTCCCCTTTAACTGAGTTAAATTATTAAAAAGGCAAACCTTACAATTTGATAAATTCAGAGATGGCAAAAGTACTCACTTTCCGTACTTGAGTAAAAGTACAGATACTTGTGTTAAAAAATACTCTGGTAAAAGTGGAAGTACTGAT